TCCTGTTGCGTAATGTATATTCCGATCGTAAGCGACACAACCTCCCCCTTCAAAGGCCGAAGCGAAGTGACCGGGCGGCAGGAATCACGCTTCAAGAGGCCGATAGTTTAGGTAATTTCTTTTTACAGTGAAAATAATGGTATTTTAAAAAAAAAGTAAATAACATAAGCACTGCTTTATAGTTAGTTCAGTTAGTATGCAAAGTTTCATGATATTATTTAAGGTATTTTATGAATAACAGCGGTTTATTGTTTATTTTGGAGGTAATTTTGGATTTTTTTTCTATCGAGAAAACTTTACGAAATCGTGTTTTCGTCTAAAATAATCCTTAACGTTAATCCTCAACTTTACCATATATTTATTTCAAAATTAATGCTGCAATATTTTCGACATAACGAAGGATCTTGCTAAGCCATTTGAGATTATATTTCCTCTTAATACAGATATCGATATATCGAAAATCCAATTTAAAAAAATTAACAATTTTAGTTTGAACTGATCAGTTGGAATGATCAGTTGAACTGACCTTGTGTGACGACAATTGCCGTTATTTGGCGACGTAAGAGAATTCACCTCCCTACTTTGTTCAGTAACTTTCGTGAGAGGCGATGCTGGTGGAATCGTCGGAAACAATGGCCTGTGATGTTTGATGTCAGTAAATCTATTTGTACATACATGCTAGGCGCTAGATGTAAAATATTCAAAGCGTGGACGAGGAGCGACGTTAACGGCGTGTGACATCTGTGATTGGAAGTGCTAATCGCTTAACAGGTTAGCAAAGCGTCACTTCAAATTCTTCCATCTCATTATCTGAGAGACCTATGCTCAGCAGTGGATTGTTGCAGCCTGATTAAGAATTAAGAAAGAGGCAAGTATCCACTTAAAAGAAAAGGTTCAATCAAATGGTTAATTTATATTTTCATATACAAAATATACATTGGCACAGTCCGTTATAACATAATATAGCACTTTGTTGACTCCTCGTTGGTCTAGTGGTTGTAGTAGTGCGACTGCTGATCAATGAGGTCCTGGGTTCAAAGCCCGGATCGGGCCGAAAAATCAATTATTGAGTTTTTCTGTCAAGAAATTCTCAGTAGTTGCCCGGAGTCACGAAGTTGGCGGTGTCTCACCCCCGTGCCTCGGAAGACACGTAAAGCCGTTGGTCCTGTGCCTGATCTCTCTCCGGTCGTGTCGGTTTACCGACCCATCGGATTATGAGAGAGAGGGAATAGAGGGTGCACCTGTGCTACTGTGCATACACTTGTGCACTATAATCATGTCCTGCGTCGATGGCTAGACTCAGTTGAGGCAGGCCGCCGTGGCCGAAATTCGGTCTGGAGGACATTATTATTATTATGGGGGTATCAATATAGTTTTCTCATCTGGTTTGGGTTCTATAAATATATAATCATAAATGAAAATGAAAAGATAAATAAACATAAATATCAATAACATAAAATAAATATAAAAATACATAAATAAATAAAAGCCCAACCAATGGAGGCCCTCGGCAGGGGAGACCAAACGGCCGAGGGTTAGGGGGAAAGGGAAAAAAACTGGCGGACGATGCGGGCGGTATCGAGGAGCACCGCCTTCTTCATTTGAGCCTGGAGCGGTCCCGCCACGTAGTCACAGCCGCCTCAGATGATCCGAGGAGCTGACTGGGATTAGCCCGTTTGCAGAGACGACTACAGGAATAATTTCGGTCGGCAGACCACCCCACAAGTCGGTCACCTCGTGAGCCAGGTCCTGATATTTAGTTTGCTTATCTGTTTCGGCTTTCACGAGGTTCTCGTCATAGGGAATGGTAATTTTTTTTTTTTTGTTTTTTTTTTTTTTTGTTTTTGTTTTTGTTTTGGGGGTTTTTTTTTGGGGGGGTGTTTTGTTGGTTTAAATTTTTTTTTTTTTTTTTTTTTCAATATTATTTAAATTTTTTTTTTTGGGGTTTTTTTTTTTTTTTTTTTTTTTTTTTTTTGGTTTTTTTTTATTTTTTTATTATTCTTAAATATCCGTAATTTTCTAGACTGGAGAATAGCGGAGTATGTATATCTAGTAACAAGAAAACAGTATTTTGAAATTTATATTTTTATATTGTTTGAAAATTTACTTTTTTAATGTTGACATACGAATACAATTATTAATCATTTCGAAGTAATTTATTAACAAAAGATTTTTCATTTATCGTATTTATCGCAACGTCATCCGTTATAATATATCCCCTAAAAATATTTCTATATAAAATCTGTAAATCAAAAATATACTTCGATATTATAACTAAATATTTTATTACCTACATTGTTAAAATTTTGTGGGTTAATAGCGATCTTTACACAACTTGCGGTAATTTCTTCCCACGCATGTGCATGCTATTGTACGGTTTCTTTATTAAAGGAAGGCTTCTTTCTGGCCAGTTGGTCAGTTTCGAAGTATTTGTACGATATATGACCATGTAACTTATTATAATGAAATTGTTTACAGCTTTTTGCAGTTTGTTAATCCTATTCAAGCAACAATGCGGAAATTTTCCTAATACTATTTGTGAATTACCCTTTTTTATAAACTGAAGGAAAATTGTATATCTGATATATATCATATTTTATTTTATATTTGTTTAGTACCTACCCCTCTGTCTTCTTACTTACTACTTAGGTCTCTCCCGTGCTACCGTATCTAATAGCAACGACTGCAGATTACAATTCTATTTTCCCAGAGCTAAGAGTGGTTCGTTTTACCTAATTTAAATTATGTTTGTAAAGATAATGATATGTTCTCTTCTTGCAAATGGCGGAATGGCCGTGTCCGGCAACTATTTCAGCGCTATAAGAAATTTCAAAGATATAAAAGGACCAGCCGTGCTTACCTACATATTTTCTAAATCTTATAGACATTATTTTTTTTTTTTTAAGAAACAAGAATATTTTGGTTTGGATACTTGCTACCTTGTGTTAATGAGGATATAAAGTTGATCAAATTAATCGATGAATGATATTCTACACTCAAACAACATTTGATTTTTTGTGATTTAAATTCGAGCTGTTTTGCTTTGTCACTCTCAATAGCGTGGAAATCGAAATTTAACACATTTACCATAGAATACTGTTATGCAATCCGCCCCTACTTCGCACGGGTGATTTCTGGATCTAGCCAACAGCTCTGCCTGCCGGGTTGCCGGGTTCAATTGTAAATCCAAACCTTCGAGAATCAGTTGCGAGTTCCAGCGAGACTTACGAACAGCTATTAATATTTATACAACATGTAACAAAAACCCTGTGGTTCCCGTTAGGTGTGTTATCAGAATCACTATCGAAGCGTATAGAATTTTTTTTTTCAAAAAACACATTAAAAAAATATATTTTTAACGAAAAAAAAATTAATTTGCAAATTGTATGTGGTTTTATTTCTTCTAACTCGCACGAGTATCGGTAATGCGGGGTCTTTGACAATCCTCTAACTCCTCGACCAATGCAGAGTAAAATAAAACCACATACAATTTGCAAATTAATTTTTTCTTCGATAAAAATAATTTTTTTAAATGTGTTTTTTTGAAAAAAAAATATTTCTATACGCTTGGATACTGATTCTGATAACACACCTTACGGGAACCACAGGGTTTTTGTTACATGTTGTATATAGAGATTATAGTATTCTAAGACGTCATTTACCTGCACTGAAAAGGGGATAAACTAAGAGTACCCTTAACCGACGAGCATGTATGCGTAGGTATTTGGATGTGGAGAGAGATGTGTCAGGATCGTGCGAAATGGAAGTCTGTAGTCCCTGCCTACCCCTCTGGGTGACAGGTGTGAGTGTTTATGATTATTATGACTATGAAATTGTTGAAATTTAGTCTGGAGATGGAATAATATATTGATCATATACAGAAACGTTTTAAGTTCGATATTAAGGTAATAAGAAATCTGAGATCTATCTCGCAAATTGTTCAATAGAAATACACCGTTAAAAACATGAGGGCATAAACATTGTCTTTAATTACTACCATAAGTATAGTATCAATTAAATTATTATTGCTATATTAAATGAGAGATAAATTGGTTGAGTTAGTGGATGAGTTTGTGAATTTAGATGGACATATGCTTATCAGAGATGGGGACTAGACAGGGTTATACTACGAAGACCTAATACAGGACTCTTTACTCTACTGTGGAAGCCCAGAATGTGTCAAAAAAGACACGTATGACAATTCACAATGCTGTATCACAATGTTGTGAAAATTGGGTATGGCAAAAGAAGTATGAAAATATAATCGAAAAGTCGAAATGGAAGTCGAATCGAAAGTATAATATATAAAGTTGTAGAAATAGGGGGTGTCACTAAATGATAGGGCGTAAAAATATATGATAAGAGAAAAGTCTGGTTTGCAAGATGTTGTGACCAGGATTAAAAAAAGGAATGCCTCTGTAGTTTGGACATGAAGAAATAAAGAATGAGGGAAGAGTGACAAAGCAAATTTATGTTCCTGAACTGAGTAGCTGAGTCGACAAGGGACGCCCTTGATGTAAGTTTATCTACTGAATCGGTGGCACGCTGAAGGGGATCCAAATGAAAGTCATGTAAGCGTGGCAACTATGGCAAAAATCTCCTATGACGCAATCTATGGGGAGGCCTATATTCAGCAGTGGAATTAAAAATATTGTAACCGTAACAGTATGCGTAGATATATCATGTGAGAGAATCGAAAGAGTTTTGTAAGGATTGTGTGTGTGTGCATACTATGGGTAACAGGCGTGAATGTAAGTATAGGTAAACATTTATGCTGATTTGACAATGTACTCGGCTGTATAGAACATTGTGGGATTGTGCGGAAACCTTTATGTATGGTAAATTAAAATATTTCCAATATAATATATTAAGTCCGCCGACATACACTAGAGTAGCGCAGCGCGGCGGATCTAATACACCCCACCCTCTCAGAAATGAGGGGAGACCTGTGCTTAGTAATAAGATTAGTATTTAGGCTGTACTTAACTATGTCTACATACCGCACTTAAGAAACTGTCCAAATCTCTAATATCGTATCCAAACTTGGCACCCTTCTTTTTTCTTCTGTGACGATGCCGGTGTTTCTTCCTCACATACTCTTCGGTTCCAACGCTAGTATCCGAGCAAGATTCTCGGCCATTGAACTCTTCACATGCGTTCCTAAACCTGAGGTTATGGTAATGTTCATTGCGACCTACAACTCTGTTCACGTGCGTCTTATACGTAGTAACAAAACGTTCACTTTCATTTATTTGATTGCAGTTCTTCTCTAAGTAGCCCGATTTGTTTTTTAATCTGTCATCGCGCAACACTTTAGCCGTCTCCAAATTATCCTTGAGGACCCAAGTGAGGGATATCTTGGACTTGTGCCGATTCGGCAGCGGCGTGGAGTGCCACAGGCCCATATCTTCGACTTCTGCGTATTCAACGTTGGAATCTTGATTTTCATCGGACTTGGTTGTTACGGTACAGTTCGCCAATAAGTCTATAACCTCGCATACCGGTGGGTCATCCTAAAAATATAAAAAATTAAAATATCGCTTGTTGAGGAATTAAAAATATTTTAGGACGTTATAATATGTAAAATCTCGCGCAATAGGGCAGCGGGGCGGACACTTTACTCCTCTCAAATTTTCTACGAAATTACAGGAGTCTCATCTTGCTGTTACTTGGATGTATAGTTTGTTACTTTAATATAACTCGATCAATAACGTAAGTAGTTTATAATTAGTTTAGGGTTCAAAGCAGAATATGTTAAAAGAAAAAAGTTCCGTGTAGTCAGGAGGAACCGGCGCTTGAGTATCGCAAACTATTGCACCTCAATTATTTATGCGATTCTGTTCAAATTGTCCTACTGATGATATAAATGCAATTGCCATAGGAAAAATTGGTGCCATTTTGTTTAAACCGATTTCTTTTATTTTATTTCTTGTCTCAAAGAATATAAAAACAGATATCTTTCATATCTTATTCTTCTTCTTTATAAATTTTTAATCAGTCAAAAGTATCTGAATTTGGGATTTTTAAACATTTAAAAAATCGTAACTCCGAAAATATTAACCTTATCGTTAAAAGTCATACGACCTTTTTTATTTGTATTAAAAATTAAAGAATCAAATCAAAGAATATAATTCGTATTTATATTATTCTTTTTCCTTGTGTATTTTAACGAGTCAAACGTAGGTATCGGAATTTGGGATTTTTCAAACTTTTAAAAATTTATAACTCTGAAAATATTAACTATATCGTAAAAAGTCATAGAATCTTTTTTATTCGTATTTCATCAAAGAATATAAAAAAAATTGTTTCACAAATCAATGCAATTGAAAAAATAAATTCGGTTTAAACAAGAGTTGCCCTACGGCAACATGCGTTTACTTTATTTAAAATCCGATATTTAAAAAAATATCAAGTCCTAGTTTGAACTGATCAGTTGGAATGATCAGTTGAACTGACCGTATGTGTCGTCTATTACAATTCTGATCACGAGCAACTTTACCGGTAAGCAACAACCTTTATGCAGGCTTTGATATAGAGTCTCAAGTGAAAGTTTGAATAATGGAACGCTATAACAGAAAGCTTCGTTTAATGTTAAGGGATACGGGAACATTCAAAATACATACGAATTTTAAACCAAGGAAGGCATTCTGAGGCAGGTAGTATATTTTACGCTGTTATGTATGTCATCATCATTTCTTCATCATCATTACAGCCCTTCACAGGTCCACTGCTGAACTTAGGCCTCCTTCAAGTAATGCCACAAAGCACGATCCTAAATCACCTGCATTTATCAACTTCCAAAATATCTTACCAGATCGTCACTCCAACTAGTAGAACACAATATGAATAATAAATTATATATTGATTTTTTTACGTTTATAATTTATTTTAACAAATTTTGATACTTGTTTCATTCATAAGAAAACAACGTTTCACCTAGAAACTAACACATAAGTATTTACAAAACATCGACCAATTATAGTTTATTGCATGAAATCGGAATTAATCGGCGCGAAGCCGGTCTGACAGCACTATTATTATGTTATTTAGCGAGATGATTTAATGATCCTCTATACTCTCTACTCTACTCTATACGTAATACATAAACACAAACAATAAAAGTAGATGCTAGAGCTACGCTGCAGCTATATTATACGGTGAAGGACCACACTCTCACAAAATACCATAATATAGCAACTTAATGCTTCTATGTTTTGTATGATGAATGTGGAACGGGACTTTCCATCTTAGTCCTTATGGGCTAGGCGGGCAGAGAGTGGCACCTGCCCCCCGCCCCCCGCTCGTAGCGAATCAAAAAAAAATTAATGAAATGCAAAGCGATCAGTCATATTTATTGTACAGTCCAGTTAAGAGCTGATGGAGCTTACACATTGGAATTTGTAATTAAATAGAATAGAATAATTGAATAGAACTGTAAAGCTTCATGTGCTTTTGTACCTACACTTTCCCATCCTCTATATATGAACTTGCCCATCCCCTCCAGACCATCGGCTAGCGACGCCCTTGCTCAGGGGTGATAACGCACCTGCATTTTAATTCTTAATCAAGAAGAGATGTATATGCCTTTGAGCCACATCATCCACTTTCCATCAGGCGAACTCTGTGCTTGTTTGTCAACCATATTTTTTTAAAGGAATAATTTCTAATGTTCAAGATATTTGTAACAACTTATTTCGATGAGCATATGATCAGAAATGAGAATGATTTCACTAATTCTGTGACAAACTTACATTCCTGATGGTAAATGTTTTTTACTTTGTTACTACTCAAAATTAAAATGTGAATATTTTCTTAGGTACTTAATGAAAGAAAACATCTAAGTTTGCTACATCTCGGTCGTTACCAGTGTCTTTTAATAATTTATTTACACCTAACATTACACAAGAAGGTTCGTGTATTACTTACCGTTACCTGTTGGTAGGATGTTCTGCGTTCGTCTTCATTTGCATGTATTTCATCTTGGTATGGAGGAGGAGGATCCTTGGGAGATACTTCTGAGAAAAAAAGTTTTTTTTTTAAATCATACCCGGCTCAAAAACAGTATGGTCATATTCATAAGTTTGGTTATTTGTCAGTTTTGGTAACGAAAGCCTACATTAATTATTACTTGCTTTTACCTTTTACCTGTGGCCACAGATTAATAAACTAAGTCTGCGTAGAACTCAAATATTAGTGGTATTTTTGACAAGTAGTTTAGTTATCGAAAAACCACTATAATAAACTCAGTTTTTTTTTGTTGTTTCTTTTACTAACTCGAAAATGAAAATTAAAGATTTGTTAATTTTACATTCAAATAAAAAGTTCTTGGTCACCTTACCTTTTAACACTCATAGTATTGTTGTTAAAGAATGACCAAGTACTAAAAGGGCACTTGTCACCTATGCCAGTGAATAAAATTTACAGGACTGAAGAAAAACTGAATTCAACTAAAGCCTGAAATATATTTCATTTTGGCTTAATACATGATATCAATGTTTTCCAACGAAAAACTTACATATTACCCTGTAAAATGTTAATGAATAGCAATAAAAAAATGTAGACAAGAGCTCTTAGTGAAATAAATACTGAAAATACGAACACATGTGCCCATTTAATACCAAATGAGCAAGCTCGTTATAAATATTTAACTTGGTAAAAACGTTAAACCTAGACATGATATTAAATGACTGCCTCGTTGGTCTAGTGGTTGTAGTAGTGCGACTGCTGATCATGAGGTCCTGGGTACGAATCCCGGATCGGACCAAAATCAATTATTGAGTTTTTCCATCAAGAAAAACTCAGTGGCTGCCCGGAGTCAGGCAGTGTTTCACCCCCGTGCCTCGGTAAGCATGTAAAGCCGTTGGTCCTGCGCCTAATCTGTCTCCGGTCTTGTCGGTTTACCGGCCCATTAGATTACGAGAGTGAAGGAATAGGGAGTGCACCTGTGCTTACGCATACACTTGGGCACTATAATCCTGTCCTGGCCGATGGCTAGTCTCCGTTGAAGCTAGCTGCCGTGACCGAAATTCGGTCTAGAGGACGTTATTATTATTTAAGTTTATGATATACTGATGATACTGGACAGTTATTAAATTATATTTGGAAATCATAAATTTCTCTTTCACTCGCCCACGCCGTGTTTTGGAGAGTTTAGTTAGCCTTAGACGCATGCAAATAACCTAGTTATTTCGATATTGGTTAGATACGTTTTTAGTTTAAAGAGGATAACAGCGAGAACTGAAATTGCGAATAGCGAACTGAAAATATTGCTGAATAATCGCCATAAGCATAATAAATTAATCATTAACAATGATTTTTTTTTTATAGAAGGAAGGGGCAAACGAGCATGTGGCTCACCTGATGTTAAGTGACTACCGCCGCCCATGATCAACCGCAACACCAGGAGAATTGCGGGTGCGTTGCCGGCCCTTTAGAAAGGAGTAAGCTCTTTTCTTGAAGGTTCCCAGGTCGTATCGGTCCGGAAAAATCGCCGGTGGTAAACTATTCCACAGAGAGGTTGTACGTGGAAAAAAACTCCTGATGGTGATGATGTCTTCAATCACTGCTATATTTTTCAGCTTTTATTTTTTTTAAAGACGCATGTATACTGACATCAACAGTGTCCCCAAACAATACGATCCTTGAGTTGTATTTTTATAGAAATACATTTTACATTTGAATTTGATTGGAATTGGATTCGCGTATTCATGGATTAGAAAAACAATTAAGGACCATTTTTACCCCAAAAGTCTATATTAAAACCATTGCTTACATAAATGTGAAAAACATCGCGATTTTTCGGCGCATGAAAATTCAAAATAATTCTTTTATGGTACTGGTACCGTAAACAGGAATATATCGAATTTTAATCAAAATATATCGAATCAGAATATAACGAATTTTAAGGCCTGATTCCGAGCTAAGCTATATTACGGTATATTTTTTATTTTTTAGTATATTTAATCGTCAGTAGGTAGTTGGTTATAACCAGACTTCCTCGCAATAAAGGGTATATTTTGCGTAAAAACGTTAGCTGCGTTTTAACGCAAAATAATTAAATTTACTTTAGAAACCACTGCAGTGAAATGAAATCAATTAAAAAATCTTTTTGAAGTAAAAAATTAAAATTTCTTTCGTCTAACGTCAACTACATGCAACATAATGATTTCTTAAATTTTATAAATCTTAGCACAAGGCTAATACCCAAATGACTTTCTCTGCCAGCTAAACTTTGTAGTGTGTTAAGAGCTGTGGGTAGAGCCGCAACAAAAAACCTTATCATCACGGAACATTATTGGCTGGCTATCATATTTATCTTATCGTGTCGTAGTGTGGAATGCTCTTGACTATAGGGAGCCATGATCTGCGTAAGGTGGCTGGTAGAAATTGGAGGTGTGTCGAAGACCGAGCTTAGTGGCGCGCCTATGCCTATGTCCATCCAGGCAGATGATGAATCATATCTATTATAATATGTACTTACTATGATATTTACCTACTATGTTATTGTTATATTAATTTTATCAGATGACAAAAGAGAGACAATACCTGCGGAGTTTCTTTCGCTGTTTATTCTTCTGTCACGGGAACCTCATTTAGAAATGGGTTACTACCTTACGTCGAAAAATTAAACATTAAATTCATTTCTTTCATCGTTACATACAGAGGTTTTATTTTCATATGTTTAATATTTTATTATCGATAAAAATATTCGGATTGAACATTAAGATGAATGCTATATTATCTTAACGAAAAATAAGTTCTTTTTTTCATTTACATGATTCGAAATTTCGGTAGAGTTTTATATGTTTAATTCTTAACGATTTTTATAGTTTTTTACAACTACTTACTCAATAAATATTTATTTTGTAATAGAGCAGGCGAATTTGCGATCACAGTAGGCCGTCAATCGTTTCGCACCTTCTTGTTCTTCTTCAGATCGTCAGTTTGTGTATGTTGTGTATCTGCTAATGAAAGTACGGGACCTGTACCTAGTAGTAGTACCTGTAGTAGTAGTAGTAGCCGTGTTTAGGTTAAAAAAATCTCAAACTTTAGTTACATTTATTCAAATCTTCGAGCTAGTGCAAACTTTTTGAAAATGTTATGTACACAGTCTTCACTTCATAAAATAAATATTAGCTTAGTATAAGGAACGCACGTAATAAATATTCATTATCACAGGTAACTGAGTGTATAATTAGTCACAAATAATAGCAACAATTCTAAAATGCGACGGAATGAATGTTACGATGTGTAAAGTGCGCGCGCACGCCAAAATACTCTACGTTGCACCCGACTTGTGCGAGTTCGCGCCAAGCACTGGTGTGGTATACTGAGACACTGAGAGCGACAGCAGACCGAAGCTGATACCCTATCGAGTATCACGCTGCCCACTCTTCTAGTAAAATGAAAGGATTGTGATATAACACCAGTCCGTATCGTAAAGCTTCATTTGCACTATAAACGATATGTATCTAATTTGTATTATAATCAGCAACGTTATTAAAAATACTTTTCTAGTTCATTACTTTCAAGATTCGAAATTTAACGTATGAAGATAATATCTAGGGCAATAAAATGGATATCGAATATCGAAACTAGCTAATGCTAGTATACTTAAATACTTAATAAATTTATGATCGACTGGCTAAACTTAGGTTAAGTTAAAGCGTAGGCTGATTTTTTTTTCATGAAATAGGTACTTAGTGTATAGTCATAATGTAGTCTACTTAGTCAGCAAGTTTATTTTAGTATATTCAGCGCTGGGCACAGTCCTCCTCTCATTTCTAAAAGGGTTGAGAAGTAAAGTAAATGAAAATGTAAAAAAATAAATAAATTTAGTATATTTATATTGTTTATTGTATTTAGAAAATAATAACATAATAAACATATAAACACAAAACTTGTGTGAAGTTAGTACCATACTCGTGTATTCGAATAAATCTTGGCTTAAACTAGGTTTTACAAGTCGCCGATAGTTAGTTAAGGTTTAATAAAACCGTAAACATTAGTAAATGAAAAAGTTAATTGCAAATGTACATTGAGTCGAATTAGCCTATGAACAAAAGTAAGCCAAAGCTTAACCGGTTAATTATATTATAGGGAATCTTTCATTATAACATTATTGTAGTAGTACCTAAAAGAATTAATATGGTACGTGAGAGTAATATGGTCACTTAAGCTTTGCCGCCCTATAAAACCAAAACTAGGAGGAGCACAGACAAAAACACAAAGTCGTAAATTATAACTAATATATTAAGAAAAAACTAGCAAGCAAGCCTTGATAAAAATTTGGAACACTTCGAAAAGTCCACTTAAAAAAACTAACTACACTACACCATATTAAAATCGACTAAAATAGTTACTATATTGACAACTGTCAAAATGGCGTCGATAAAGCAGCGCCCTTTCGACCCTTTATCTTTTGATTGACCGATGAAGAGCTATCACATCACAGCATCATCTATGCAAACAAGGCTGTAAGATTTTCAGTTAAAAGATTTTAAGTGACCATATTAACGGATGACCATATTACCCTCACGTACTGTAGTAATAATGAAAAAAGGTTTTCGAGTGGCAGCCTCGTACCGGTAGCCGTAGTGTAGGGCGACCCCCCACTAGATGGAGTGGTAGCATTACTTGGAGGAGGCCTATGTACGAAGAAAACCGTTTGGTTGGAATGCGTGGTATGTCGCTAACAAAGTGGTGGAGACCAGACGAGCGTCTGGTGGTCCGATAATGAAATGGAGAGGGAGAGAGAGAGAGGTAAGATATGCAAGAAGTCGATGGATCCAAGTAGCTCAGGACTGTGCTTTCTGGTATTCGTTTTAGTGAGACCTATATTCAGCTGTGGACTTATGAAGGACTGTAATGATGATGATGATGATGATGATGACTGTAGTAACAGCTAATAAATTTAATTCATAAAATAATGGTTATTATTTCATTACAGTCTATCAAAGTCTCTCATAGAATGCCATATAAGGAGGATGTTTGCCATAGTTGCCACGCTTGGCAGGCGTGTTGGCAACGGCAGCTTTTTTTCTAGTTGTTTATTAGGAAGACGTTGCTGCCCACCTCCTGGTTTGTTTCCCTCTGACGCATCTTACGACAGCCACGGGACGATATGGTGTAGTGGATATTATTACCCAGCCACTACGCGGTTAAAAGGTTAATTATATTACGGTAAAAAATATCAATAAATGAATGGTTTTTCAGAAATATAGAATCTTCTTTCTTTAGCGTGGTAAATATGGGCGTGTGTTTCGTGGATTACCTGATAAACATTTATTTTTTGAGATTACTTTAAAAGACTTTCACTTATTTATTGAATTTTACGTACTTATTTTTTTAGAAATAATTAATACCAATCATGAGGATATCCGCAGTAAAACCAGAGTGACCGACATAGCCCAACGGATTAGTAAGCTGAAGTGGTAGTGGGCCGGCCATATAGCTCGAAGAACCGACAACCGATAGGAAGTCGATGGATGTAGGTGGCCCAGGACTGTGCTTTACGGCATATCTTGGGGGAGGCCTATCTTCAGCAGTGGACTTATGTAGGACTGTAATGATGATGATGATGATGATGATGATGATGATGTTATATCGTAAAATATATTTTATTAAAATTATATTTTTATTTAACTCAAACATATAACTTCAATATTAAACAAAGACGCATTTTACTGGAAACGAGGCATTTCAACTTAGTCCTCACGGGTGACAACGCATCTGCATTTTGATTTGTTATCGAGGATAGGTGTAGATATCTATAGGCCCCAGCAACCACTTACCATCAGGTAGACTGTGTGCTATTTTGTCACCCTATCCTATAAAAAAAATCGAGGATAGCTGTAGACGAATATGGGCCACGGCATTCACTTACTGTTGACTAAGTGCTCGTTTGTCACCCTTATTCTATAAAAAAACACAGACCTAGCTATTAAATCGCTGGTTTAACCATAAACATCTATAACGCTACGGCTAAAGCCTCCTCAATTAGACATGAAGATGGGATTCAAACTCATGACCGAACACACTGGCAGGTATACTTCCATAAGCGGTCGTCAACAAAATATGACCCTAACGACATAGCAACATTCTCACGGGCCCACACGGCACCGCGAACGCATCGAACGCGCCGAATACGCCCCGGGACACGATCCGCGTCCACACCGGTCAGCTGTAGGGTCTCCATTGTTGTGTTAATTTTCAGGATAAAGACTACCAAAGTAAAAAGGATAATGTACATGTAAGCACATGCGTTGGATTCCGATTCAAAATAGTATGTTTTAAGCTTAAAATTTAAATGCTATGTTAGCATCATTTATCATATTAATTTATTTGAATGTATTCTTTATAATATTATCTTTTTATTTTATCTTTTTTTTACTTTATATTTTAGGAACTTAATTGCTAAAAGTGTATTACCCATACATCCTATTGAAGTCCACTGCTGAACATAGGCCTCCCCAAAGATTGTCTCATAAGGGGGCCTCTTGCCATAGTTGCCATGCTTGGTAGACGGATCGACAACCGCACTTTAATTTATATTTCTAGCTGTTGTTACGAAGAGATTGCTGGCCATTTCTCCCATCGTTTCCTTCTGTCGCCTCTTACGAAATCCACGGGATGATATTATAGACATAGGATATGATCACATTTTTGTTAGGAATCGTATTTCAGGTTTATTTGTTGTTTACACTATCTACCTATTTTTTACGAGCCAAGCATCGCGATTCCCGACTAATGGCCTTGCAAGTTCCATGCGTTGGGCATCGCAGAACTCACATAGGTGCGAAAATATGGTTAGTCGAAGTAGTAGTAACTTAACATTTCGCAATGGATTTTTTTACTCTTTATTGACAGCCCTTAGTAACCACGGAAAGTCCGCCGTGACGTAGGAAGGAGAAAAGATTCAAAGTAATAATAATTAGTCGTCGGCAAGCAATCAACATCAAAGGAGTGCAACTTCTGTACGTAGTACTGTTTAGTATTTATTCTGTGTTATCGGGTAGTGGATATTCTTACACCGCCACTACACAATAACACGGTAAAAGTGTATTTATAAGCCACATTATTATTTTAAGACTCATTCAAGAAAAGATCCAAAGTAATAATAATTAGTCGTCGGCAAGCAGTCAACATCAAAGGAGTGCAACTTCTGTACGTAGTACTGTTTAGTATTTATTCTGTGTTATCGGGTAGTGGATATTCTTACACCGCCACTACACAATAACACGGTAAAAGTGTATTTATAAGCCACAATATTATTTTTAAGACTCATTCAAGAAAAGATTCAAAGTAATAATAATTAGTCGTCGGCATGCAATCAACATCAAAGGAGTGCAACTTCTGTACGTAGTACTGTTTAGTATTTATTCTGTGTTATCGGGTAGTGGATATTCTTACACCGCCACTACACAATAACACGGTAAAAGTGTATTTATAAGCCACATTATTATTTTTAAGACTCATTCAAGAAAAGATTCAAAGTAATAATAATTAGTCGTCGGCATGCAATCAACATCAAAGGAGTGCAACTTCTGTACGTAGTACTATTTAGTATTTATTCTGTGTTATCGGGTAGTGGATATTCTTACACCGCCACTACACAATAACACGGTAAAAGTGTATTTATAAGCCACATTATTATTTTTAAGACTCATTCAAGAAAAGATTCAAAGTAATAATAATTAGTCGTCGGCATGCAATCAACATCAAAGGAGTGCAACTTCTGTACGTAGTACTGTTTATTATTTGTTCTGTGTTATCGGGTAGTGGATATTCTTACACCGCCACTACACAATAACACGGTAAAAGTGTATTTATAAGCCACATTATTATTTTTA